CCTTCTTTTCATTAAACTAGACATACCCAGTTCCGGCAACTGTTCTTCATATGTTTTAGTCTCCAGTCCCCCATTAGGCAAGTGAAAATGAGCTCAATCTGTGTATTCTCCCAGTAGTCTGGATGCTTGAAAGGTGATGGAGGTAGGGCATAAAAAGTAGGGCAGAAGAAAATAAATGTCATCCATTGCTGTGCAATGCAGAATTTTGCTGAGTATTTCAGAAGCTGCTCTGTATTCCAAATAACATTAAACGTTTATCTCCTCTCCTATAGCTGATAGTAGCAAGAAAGTTATCCTGATTTCCGAGGAGCTGGCTCTCAAGACAGAAGATTCAATCAGGCAACAGGAGGAGATTAGCCAGCTTCTAGCACAGATTGTAGAGCAGCAACAGAAGTGCCGTGCGGTAAGCAGGGCAAATTTGGCCAGTTTTTGTTCTTTATTTCTTTATTTGATTGATTGATTTGATTTATATAACTTCCCATGTCGCATACAAGACTCTGAAGAGTTTATAATGATTATTAAGAGCCATGGTGGCGCAGTGGTTAGAATGCAGTACTGCAGGCTACTTCGGCTGACTGCCAGCTGCCAATAGTTTGGCAGATCGAATCTCACCAGGCTCAAGGTTGACTCAGCCTCCCATCTTTCCAAGGTGGGTAAAATGAGGACCCAGATTGTTGGGGGCAATATCCTGACTCTGTAAACCACTTAAAGAGGGCTGTAAAGTATTGTGAAGCAGTATATAAGTCTAAGTGCTATTGCTATTATAAATAAAGCTAAAAAGAGAATGCATATAAAACCATATTAACACCATAAGTAGTCCTTGATTTACAACAGTTCACTTAGTAACCATTCAAAGTTACAACGGCACTGAAAAAAAGTGACCAATGACCATTTTCCTCATTTATGACCATGGCAGTATTCCCAGTATTGGCAGTATTGTAAGTTTTGTTTTTAAAAAAGTTTTTTATTTTTCTCTTTCAAATTCATTCACAAATATACACTCTTATAATTACTATTAACAATTTTCTATTCATCTTTAATCTTTATCATTATTTTCTTACAAATATATAGAATACAGTTTGGGTCACTTTCTTGCCACCCCATGCCTCCATCTGATTTTGCAACAACCTTGCTCCTTCTATCTTCTCAAACTCCTTCTCTGCCTTCTTCTTTCCTCCTCTCCTTTCACCTTTCTTCTTCCTCTCCCTTTCCCCCTCCTCTCTTCTCCTTCTTCTTCCCTTCTCTTCTAATCTTAATTCTCCTCCCTTACTTCCTCTGCTTTACACTTTCTTCCTTTCCCTCCTCCTCCTTCTTACTTTCCGTTGTTACCCTTGCTTATTTACTTTCTCTGATGGGTTCTCGGGGTGGCATTTCAGCAATCCCAACTTTATATTTTCATACAAATGATTTTCTCTATTACATTTTATTTCTAATAACAATTCTACTTGTATCCTTTTTAGCTTGTATACTTGCATTTTAGTACTTTCCTATCCCCCCCTTTAATAATGTGGCATCCGAGTTATTTGTTTTATACTTGGTTTCTTTCTCTTTCTGTTTGTATCTCTTTTCTAACCAATCATAAAATCTCCCCCATGTCCTGTAGTGGTTGTAAGTTAAGGATTACCTGTATAATGGTAGTGGAAGTATAAAAACAATCAGCAACATTCAACATAGTCATTGCACAGGCTCTGCTGCACACTCAAATCCTAAGGCTTGAAGCCAGTACGAATGGGGCCAATCCGGTCTCCAGGAGATGAGATTCCAAAAGACAGGTGCCATTTCATCTTTCCATCTAAATCCTGCCGCACATGCCGCACTCTAGCAGACCGAGGGTAGAGTGCTAGAGTCATTAGACGGCTCCATTCTCATGGAGTGTGTCAGTAACAGTTCAGTCAGGTGGGGTATACATTTAATTAATAATAATAATTCAGGAAGAGATTAATCAGATTTTATGGGTAGTAGTGGAACATTTAATACCATTTGTTACTCTGTGCAGTCCTGAAGCCTAGATTCATGATAATGATCTAGTACAGTGTTGGTGAACCTTTTTGGCACCGAGTGCTGAAACAGGAGCGCATGCGCAGGGGAGTGACGGAAACCAGAAGAGCAGCTCCCCGACATCCATGTGCATGCCGGCCACCTAGCCTTCTGGTTTCTCGTGTTCCAGCACACTCTAAGACCAGTTGGCCAGCAGCATGCATGCACCAGAACCCAGAAAAACAACAGGCGATGGCTGCATGCCTGGAGAGATGGCTCTGCATGCCACTTCCGGCACGCGTGGCATAGGTTCACCATCACAGACATAATACCATCCCCACAGAGAAAACATCCAGGCTCAAGATAGACAAGGAAGCAAGTTTGCTCTGAGGTCTGTAAATTCCTTAGAAAGCGGGATGCTCTTTTTGTCCTTTTTTCCCACTTCAAAAATCTATAGCAAGAAGTCAAAGGCCCCTGTGTGTGTTTGTGTGTGTGTGTGTGTGCACAAGGTAAGCTTCAGATTCACACATTTCCTACTGCAATTCTAGTTCTAGTGTTCATTCTTCCACAATAAAGCTGTTCAAAACACATTTAGATAGTAACTGGGCTAGTAGTAGTGTTATTTTGATTATCCCATTGAATTTACTCTGATGAATTTCTGTAGCATTTCTAAACCAGCTGATGCCAGATGTTGGGGTTCAGTTGCCATTAGCCCAACCAGACAAATAAAACGTTCCTTCCAGTTTGAGTTGCTTTTATAATATCTGATCTAGAATTTTCAACTAGACTAATTTCTTAGTGGCTTTGGGCTAATAGGATTGTTCATAAAACTGGAGACCCATTGTTCTTAGGGAGTCATGTATTCTGCGTTGCCCTCTTGTGAATAGAATAGAATGGAATTTAAAAGGTGCTTTTTCTGGTTTTTCTTTGAAGATGTTTCACTTTTCATCCAAAAAAGCTTCTTCAGCCCTAGAAGCTTCTTGGATGAGAAGCAAAATGTCTTCAAAGAAAAACCAGAAAGTCCTGTTGCCTCTTGAAAAAGCACTTTTGGCACAACCATGTCCTGGATGACTGAGAATCTCCATAAAAAAATGGAATGGAATAGAATTAGGAATAGGAATAAGTTACTTTATTGGACAAGAGTGATTATACACACAAGAAATTTTTCACCATTAAATAACGTCTCAGTGTACATACAAACAACAAAGCAATATCATCGTAAGATACCAATAGATGAGAAGGATAGTGGTAAATCAGTCATACTTTAAAGATAAATATACTTAGACACAAGACTGTACTGTGAAGATTAGGTGTGGGAGCAGAGTGATGGCATAAGGGAAGGAACTGTCTCTGTGTCTGGTTATTTTGGCGTGCAAACGCCCTCGAGCGCCATGGCATATTGAGGCGAAGAGTTGGTACAGTTTGTCAGTTTATGGGAATAATCATGTATTTTGAAGCATTTATATTGTAAACTCTGTCGTGTACATGTGTAGTGGTGGGGTGTTTTTTTGCAGGGTGTGTGTGTCTCAAATAATTTATTATAGCACCCAAGTTACTTACCTGAAAAAAAAAGTACATACCTTTAGCAGTGTAAACCTGCTGATTTTTTTTCTCTTCCCTTTCTCCAGTATTCTTCTGAAGTGGAGCAATTGCAGCAGCAACTCGCTGAAGCCAAGGAAATCCAATCACAGCTTCGCAGAGAGGTGGGTCCCTTGAATAGCAAAGTGTGGTGAGAAGAGAAGTGGTTGCATGGAAAGGATTGCAAGGAGCATTAAGCTTTCCACAAATTAACCCAAATGGCTTTATTGCAACATGTTATGGTTTTCTATACAAAGAGTGCAGCCTTTGATGTGTGTTTGTTTGTGTGTGTGTGTATGAGAGAGTGGGGAGAGGGAGGGAGGGGGAGTGTCACAGTAGAACTGACCATTGGGTGATTTTGGGGGTCACATTTTTTTTTAAAAGTAAGCAATGCCAGGACAAAACAGGTAGTTGGGGCAGAACAGAAGTATGATTTAAAATTATGTTAATACTTAATTTCATCATTTTCCCCATTTCTGCCCATCCTAGAAGTTTTATATATATATATATTGTTTAAATTGCCAGGAACTTCTGAAAGAAGAAAGTCAGCCTACACAAATGTATACAAATGCCATAAAAGTATACATCACAAAAGAAATTATTCTTGTAGTAATCATTTATATGATATGCTAAGATGCCTTGTTTAGATATCTCATTTCTATAGTTTCAGCCATTGCTGAACAAAAAAGGAAAAAACATCATTGATGCTGACTCCATATTTAGACTCCCCCCACATAGCAAAACGTCAAAGAAATCATTGATTATTCAGGTGACATCTGAAAATGATGACTCATATAATGACTTAATTACCTGTATTACATCAACCTCAGCAGGCAAGCAGTGCTCCATTGCTACATGATTTTGGCTCACAAAAGGGTTTAAAATAACTCTGTGGGGAATCCCTTCTTTTTAGTTAGTTTCTCCCTTTATTCACTTGGCTTGGCCCCATTAACTATGATGTTCCTGACTTTTTTTTCTATTCTGTGGCATCATTTCAGCTCCAGGACACACAGGAGAAATACACAGAATATGAAGCAATGTTGCATGAAGCTAAGGAAGAGAATAAAAATCTTCGCAACCGCAGTTTGCCCAACAGCACCATCCATCACAGTTCCCCCACCTTCTTACCCTTGGTAAGGATATATAATGCATAGATAAGAGAATGTATACATGTGTGTGTGTAAAAATGTGGAATATATAATGTGTGTGTAAAAATGTGGAATATATAATACATATATAGTAGAAGGATACGCGAACACTTGCATATACACACATTTATAAATGAGATACATATGTAATCTAGAGCCAGATTGGTGTACACTGACAGGTAGCAGACTAGAAACTGAGATACTGTGATGTCAAGTTCTGCCTTAGGCATGAAACACACACACACACACACACACACACACACACACACACACAGAAACACACATATCAACTTGGTTGGATGAAACTTGTGATAGAAATGTACTGATAGAAGGATATAAAATATTTAAAAGAAACAGACCTAACAAAAGAGGAGGTGGAATTGCATTATATGTTATAGGCCACCCAACCAAGCAGAAAAAATAGACGGACTTTTTGCTAAACAGTTACCAAATGTATGTAGGAAATACATCAAAGGACTAGTGGCGGATTCTAATTACACAGACATTAACTGGGAGACAAATTCAGCAATAAGTGGGAAATTGAACAGATTCTTGGCCAGCCAACTTAACTTTGTTATTCAAAAGTAGAGGAGGTAACTAGAGGGTCAGTCACACAGGACCTTATTTTTACTAATAGAGAAGTGATAGGGGGAATAGAAGTTGAAGGAAATTTGGAAGAGAGTGACCGTGCCATATTAGAGTTCAAAATAAAACAGACACAAGCAACAGAGCATAATCAAATCAGAGTCTTAGACTTCAAAGAAGCTGAAACAAACTCAGAGTTTGGGAAGGATACCAGGGATGAAAATCTTAATGGGGAAATCAACTCAGGAAGCTTAGGGAAATTTGAAAAAATATGATCATAAAAGCCCAGTCCAGCTAAATAACATTGGAAAAGAAAAACAAGAAATACAAGAAAAGAGTTATTTATATGGTTGCATAAATAATTCTCTTATTAACTGAAAGAAGAAGAAAAGAATCAGTACAAAAAATGGAAAGAGGGACACATAACTAAGACAGAGTATCAACAAATAGCCTGGACTTGCAAAAATGAAGTTAGGAAAGCTAAGGCTCAGAATGAGGTAAGATTTGCAACAACTGTCAAAAATAATAGACAAGGTTTCTTTCAACACATACAAAACAAGAAACAAGTCACAGAAGCAATCAGTTCATCAATGGGAGAAGATGGCAAGGAAGTAATAGGCAGTAGAGAAAAAACAGAACTGCTTAATTTATTCTTGGCCTCTGTCTTCAGAAAATACAACCCAAAAGCAGAACGGCAAAAGATAGGCTAGAAATGCAAATTAGAATAAGAAAATAAGCAAACATAAGATAAGATGTCAGCTCTAGATGGATTCAATTCACTAGGTCCTGACAGATTACATCCCAGAGTTCTGAAGGAACAGGCAGATGCGATCTCTGAACTATTGAACCACATCTTTCAAAGTTCTTGGAGCATCATGGAACTATCTGAGGACTGGAAAAGAGATGATGTGGTTCCCATCTTCCCCCCCCAAAAAAAGGGGGGGGGGTCCAGGAAATTACAGACCAATCAGCCTGACATCAATACCTGGGAAGATCTTGGAGAAAGATAACCAAGCAACAAATTTGGAAACATCTAGAAGCATTAACCAGTAGCCAACATGGGTTCATCAAAAACAGATCGTACCAAAAACAAATCTTATTTCATTTGTGACAAAGTGACTAACTTAGTAGATCAGCAAAATGCTGTGGACATAGTACACTTAGAGTTCAGTAAGGCATTTGAGAAAGTAGACTACAACCTACTTCTTGGAAAGATAGAAAATTGTGGGTTACATAGCATCACCACCAAATTTGTAACTGGATGATAAACCGTACTCAGTGGAACTACATCCACTTGGAGGAAAGTAAGTAGTGGGGTGTCTGAAGGTTCTGTTTTAATCCAGGTATTCTTCAATATCTTCATAAGCGATCTAGATGAGGGAATAGAAGGGGAACTCATCAAATATGCGGACAACACTAGGCTGGTAGAAATAGCCAACTCCCCAGAAGATAATCTCAAGATCCAAAAGAATCTCAACAGACTTGAACACTTATACTTACCTAATAAAATGAAATTCAATATAGATAAAAGTATTGAATTGAATTGAATTTATTTCATTTATATGCTGCCCTTTTCCCCGAAGGGGACTCAGGGCTGCTCACAATCCAAGTCAAGGGAAGGGGTACAGATAAGGAATAAAAAAGACGAACAGAACAATACACAATTTAAAAGCACACAACAACCATACCAGTCGGGGGGGGGGGGGGCAAAAGCTCTTTAGCCCCACGCCTGTCGGAACAGCCAGGTTTTAAGGGCTTTGCGGAAGGCCTGGAGGGTGGTGAGGGTTCGAATCTCTACGGGGAGCTCCAGAGGGTCGGAGCAGCCA